TATTCATGGTATTTGGGCCCTGAAAACCCTCTTATTTGGGTCCTTGGACCCTTAGGGAAAGTAGTGTTTAGGGTACCCTAAACCCTAAACCCTAAACCTTTAACGAGGCTGTGGCACAGCTCTGCGGTCATTTTTCGTCATTTGATGGTGCCACGAGACCTGGGCAGAAGTTAGGGTTTAGGGTTTAGGGTTTGGAGTTTAGGGTTTGGGGTTTTCGTTTTTTTGGGGTTTACGGGTTTAGGGTCCATGGGGTTCACGGATACTATTCCCGCAAGGGCAAAGACAATGGAACATAAAATGGACACTGGGTAAAGCCTAAAAACTAAGCCCCAAAGAGGGTTCATAGGGGTTTCGGGGGGTGACTATCAGTATTGTAGTCCTGCTTCCCAGACCCGCTAAAGTATCCCAAAGATGGACCCCCTAGAAACAGCTCATGGTGTTTAGGGCACTATGCTCGCTACCCCAGAACTCAACGAAAAGGCCACGTTCTGGACCAACTAACTGTTTTGAAAGGATCAAACCGTCAAGCCTAAACCTTGGGTACCGCCCCCACCCAGGAACAGTCTATATTAGGGGTCCTATTAAGGGCTATATATAACCACAGTAAAATTATTATCCAACTGTTACTGAGGGGGGGGGCAGTACCCAAACTAAACCCTAAACCCTACACCCTGAATTCTTAAACCCTTAAACCCTAAAACCACCCTAAACCCTAAAACCTGAACCCTAAAAGGGAATTCACTTTGTGGGAGGGTTGCCTCTCTAGGCTGGGGTCAAGGAGCTCAGTACACTGAGTACACGGTATTCTAGGGGGTATGTGCAAGGTATGTTGGGTGAAGAGATCCAGAGATGTCAAGATTTCAGGGCAATGTTTGGCGCCTCAGCATGAGTATACTAGGGTACTGCGTGGTTTGAGCATCAACCGAAGGACCCTAACTTCGAGAAAGAACCATTGATAGCCCAAACCCAACATTGCAAGGTGTTTGGGGGATGATTTAAGCTGCTGCTGTGTTAAGGGTTCCAGGAACTTGGGGTTGGGGAAAGTGTGTTGACCTGAATGCCCCTGGCTCCCTCTTCAGGGTCAGGGGTTTGTAGTCCCCCTTAAGTAGATAGCATATGGCTTTGGGTGTATTATGATGAGATCCCCATATACCCCATATTCTATCTACTTAATGTGGACTATAGGGTTAAGGGGGGGTTTAGGGCCAGTGCGCCTTCTTGGTGGTTTCCAAGTAGGTGGCTTCGTGGTGAGGGATGCCAGACTTTTCCGAATGGAACGATCATGCTACATGGTAGTTTCAATGTTGATGAGGACCCCAATATAAAACCAAACTGCTACAGCCCTGAATATGGGGCCCATAAGCTCTAGGAAGCCCGCACATAAAAGCCTATACTTATCAAAAGCCTGTCAAATGACGACCATTACCCAAATGCATGGTACCTAAAAAGGGGGTACTTGGACCCAACACCGCATTTGTCCCTTTTTATTTCCTGTTTCCTTTCCCATCCCTATATGTCCCTATACTTCCTTATAATTAGCTCTCGGGCCCCTACGGAGACTATTCCGTAAGGGTCCAAGTACCTAATAATCATATACTTCCCCAATACCTGTATTATAGTTATTCGTACCGAAAGCCCGAGTTCTTAATTATTGGGTACTTGGAGCTAAACCCTAAACCCTATACATCCCCATGTACCCCTATATCCGCCTATAGATCCTCAAAGAGTAGCTATCTATTGGATTGTTGGGTATTTGGACCCTCTGAGATTGCTTCCTGGAAAAGGAGGGTGCTTGAGCTTCCCAGATGGCTGAGTTGTTCTTCAAACTCTTCGGTCGTTTTTTTTTTTTTTTTTTT